AGTTTTGAAATTTCCGTTAAAGACCAAAAGACAAACAAAAAATATGGGGATAATAACTTAAAAATGTAACGAAGTTTTAAAAATGTATAAAAAAGATCATTATCTTTTTTATTTTTCATACACAAAATACAGTTTAAGTGTATTTTTTATACATAAAATAACAACGAAGTACACATGTGTTCAAATAAAACATTATGGTAAGAGAGGTGTGTGTGGGCAACGCCCACACGAGTTACTAGGAGAAAAAACAAGAAAACGGGAAGCAACAGCGTTACCAAATGTTATAGTAGTAATGGGAAGCAACGACGTTGCCTTTAACACGCAATAACGGGAGGGAGAGACGGTGTTCATTGGTGTTATCACGTGTTATTAGGCACAAGGAGTGGGCAACTCCGAGTAGCCTAACATGTTACCTCAGGTAAACAGAAAAATGATTTTAAAATGTAACAAAGTTTTCAAAATGCTCAAAAAATACAATTATTTTTTTAGTATAAAAAATACATTTGAAGTATATCGTTTGTAAACAAAATACTAATGAAGTACCTATTTGAATACAAAAAATACCATTGAAATTTCCGAAAAACTCAAAAAAAAAAAAAACATTGTTTTTTAAGAGCACCTTTTGTTAACTTCATTGTTTCCTGATTATACAGAACACGGTCATCGGAGATTAATCACTGTCATACCAGTTGTCTACTCTCTTTCATTCGATCACTCGATCAGTTTGTATCTAAATCCATATTTAGGAATTCTCATGTCATAACGTCACACTCGTTTTTCCTTTGTGTCTCTCTTGTGTCGCAACACAAATGAACGGCTAAACTTGATGTATAATATGTGCATCTATATAACGTATATAGGTTTTACGTTTGAGACATAAATGTGATCGGGAAGCAAGAATGTTTACCTAAGGTTATTAACCACTTACTTCTCTTGTTACCACAAGAATGATCGAGTCAAGGAATGAAAGAGATTTGCACAATTGTTTTGAACTTATATGACAGTTCATGATCTCTGGTGATTGTGTTCTACATAATTCGACAACAACGCAGTTAACAAAAGTGTGATATTTTTTGAACATTTTGAAAACTTGATTACACTTTTAAGTTATTTTTCCATATAATAACATTAATGATGTTTTTTGTACTAAAAAAACAAACATGATATTTTTTGAACATATGAAAACCGGGTAAAATATAATAACCGATAAAATAGTATTTTGTGTACTAAAACAAATATAATGATCTATTTTGTATATTTTTTTTAAACTGTGTTACCTTTTTAAGTCGTTATCCCAAAAATGTTTGGGTCCTCATAGATACATGGTGCATCATCATTGGTTAAACTTTATTTCTCCATCATTCATTTTCCAGACATAACGTTTTATCTTATTTGTTTTATTTGTTAAAAAAATTTGTATCGAATAATATTTTTAAAATTTAATTCTTTATAAAATGAATATTTTAATGAAAATTTCAAAATTTTAATTTTTAGAAAATGCCAAAAAATAATTATCTCTAAATTAAAAAAAGTAAAGGGTTTTTTATGCATCTTGTATTATGAGCTTTTCATAAAAGTTTTAAAATAAAATTACTTAGATATCATACTTTATTTTACAAAATTACAATTTTAAAAAAATGTTGAAAATTATATAATACAAAATTATATTAATTAAAATAATTATGATCCAAAAATATAATGTTTCAACATATTTATGATACTTATGTGAACCTTAACAGTATATTTTATGATTCAAAATGATATATTTTAAATAATGGAATGATACAAAACTTATTGTAAGATAAAAACTTGATTTAGTTGAACTTGTTATCATACAACATGTTTATAATCTTTAACTAGTCGTGTTCCAAAATTATTATGATTAAAAAATAATATGATTCGAAATTTGAATGAGATAAAGATAAACGCAATTTCTTCATGTATTTACTCCCGGTCGCAGATTCAAGCATCTCTATTAGATCCTGACGATTATTCGGTAACCTTGTAAATAAGGAAGACCAATCCATCAACCATCTCCACAAAATCAGCGTAACAGAGGGACAAGAGAAAAAAATGATCAACACCCTCCTCATCGATTCGACAAAAAGGGCACAGAGAAGAAGATATAGTCATTCCCTCTTTATAATATTCAAGAAGGTAAGAATTCTGATTTGAAACAAACGCTGCGCAAAGCAGTTTAATTTTAAAGGAATCCAATTGATCCATTTGAAAGGTAGAGAGTTCCCCATGTTGGATTGATTTAGCATCATATCCCTGAAAATTTTCACTAAAAATTCAGTATCACCATCTCCTTCCCACTTCCATATGTCATGCCCATCAACAAAAGTAAATGCAGCCATCTGTTCAACCACTGCAACAAATTGATCTGTTTCATGACCCCTTCTAAGTTGTCTTGCCCAATCCCAATTGTAGTTCATAACATGCCCGTTTTCAATACATACCTTCTCCTTTAAAGGCAATCCTTCTTTTTCTCCACGACATAAAGGTTCGGATAAACATCTTTTAAAACATTGTCACCACACCAATGATCTTTCCAATAGAGGGTATTATCACCATTTCCCACAACCCTCTTAAAAAGACTCTCGAAATTTATACCTCTATTCTCAAACTCACTTCCAATTTCAGATATACTAGACCACACACCCTTTATAGACTTTGTAGCAATAGACTTTCCATCAATAAGTCGAACATTGTGAATTGCTTTAATATTCTCCGAATACCCTATTGAGAGAGATTCATTAGATGTAACTGATTTCATTGGAACCTAAATATTTAATATTCCCATAATCCCCTTATTCCTATGTAAAAATTTACAATTTCATCACATAATTTGTAGAATTTACAGAAATGGCACATTCTAAACTAGAGAGGGACCTCCCTACCCCGCGACAGATTAACTAAAGGAATGCCAGGTGATTTTTAAAGCAGGTGGTTGAAAGACCGGCCTTGAGAGGACATTCTCTTTCTTGAGCTTTCGTGGGTTACAAGATCGACTAGCACATCTAGCTTACTCTATCGACAGCCCAGCCAGATATTTATAATAGCCTTTGATCTTGATTTTTGAAAGGTCTAGATATATTCTCACGTTCTCAACCTTTTGAGTGTTCTCAATTTAACTTACCTATATATATATATATATATATATATATATATATATATATATATATATATATATATATATATAGAGAGAGAGAGAGAGAGAGAGAGAGAGAGAGCAATTATGTAGTTGAGAACGTAAGAATAAATATGAATTATTTAATTTTTTAATTAAAGTAAAATACTAATAATATGAATAAAAAACAATTAAAAACAATTAAAAAAACCCACCACCTACCACCCACCATCCGCCAACCTCACCAACCATCTCCACCACATACCACACACACAATGACCACCCAAAATTTGTTTACACGTTTTCGATTCAATAGTTTTTTCTCATGTGTTTAACCACATTTGATTTTATATATTTAATTACATATGGTTATGCGGACTAAATTTATTTTTGCATTCTTAATTTAATAATTATTCTCATATATTTAATCACATATTATTTATATTAACAAGATTTGTCATTACATTCTCGATTCAATAGTTTTTCTCATATGTTTAATCACATGTGATTATATATATTTAATCGCATATGATTTATGTGGACAATATTTGTTCTTACGTCTTTGATTAGATTATTATTCTCGTGTATTTAATCACATATAATTTATTTGAACAATATTTGTTTATGCGTTTTAAATATAATAGTTGTTCCCATGTATTTAATCACATGTGATTATATATATCTAATCACACATGATCTATATGAACAAGATTCGTTTCCATGTTATAGATTCAATAGTTGTTCTAATTTATTTAGTCGCATATGATATATGTATTTAATAATAATTTATATAGACACAATTTGTTTCCGTGTTCTCGAGTCAATTGTTGTTCTTGTGTATTTAATCACACATAATTATATGTATGTAATCACATGTGATTAAACTTTATTTTCATGTTCTCACCTGGAAAACCACCCTAAAACACAATAGGTAAAACATTTACAAACATTTAATAAATCGATGGAGTGAAACAAATAACACAAAGATGTCTAAATATTTCTTCGAAGTATTCATAAAAAAAAACCAAAATATATCACTATAGGAAAACTTTCATAAACATTTAACTGAACAAACCGCGAAGAGAACTCATATATCGTGACTTTTTTTATCTGACTCAGTGGTTTAGAGTAGCGGTTTTGGAGGCTTTTTTCTTTCGATATGGTGACTTATTGCTTCAAATAACTTTTTGCTTCAGATCTAGCGAGAGAGGCGGTTTAGGAAGAGAAAAGACATGGTAAGGTCATTTAGGAATAGGATAGGTTGAGAGAGGTGGTTTCAAACGAGGGGATGGGTAGAGATAACATATCTAAAAAGAGAAAAGAGGTCGTGATTTGATGGTTCGACGGTGGTGAGGTGGTTCCAATGATAGTCTAATGATCAAGATGGTAGGTCTCTTATATGATGATAACATAAGAGAAGTGGTAGAGAGAAAAAAAAAAGATATTTATAACATAGATAGGTGGGTGGGTAGAGGATAAGCAAAGTGAAGTTTTTTAATTGTTTTTTTATTTATATAAATATTATTTTATGATTTTAATTAAAAAATTAAGTGGCCTAGATTTGTTCTCATGTTCTCAAATCTGATAATCATTCTCATTTGATATATATATATATATATATATATATATATATATATAATATATATATATATATATATTAAAAAACTAAGAAATTAAATAAGAATTTTGTTGTACAAATTCTGCATTGTCTGGATAAAAAGTCAAAAATCAATTCAATAAAATCTTACTAAAAAAGTAAATACATTCACCATTGTTTAATATAACTTGATGTGAATGTCCTTCAATTTCTATGCAACCAAGGGTTTAATTAACAACTCAAAATAATTTTGAATTTTTTTTTCAGACCATGCAAATGGAACCTTTTGATCCACCATTTCAAGAATTTTACAAGAAACTATTCGATGATCATTTCTTCAATGGACCATGTCATGGAGGCCATGAAATAAAATTTCCCCACAATGCCAAAGAGTGCAAGTTTGAGTTGCCATTAATCGATCTAAGCCACTTGAACATAGGTGGCTTCAAGCGTGAAGACTGCAAACGAGAAATTGTTAAAGCTGCGCAAGAATGGGGTTTTTTCCAAGTAGTTAATCATGGAGTTTCGCAAGAAGTTCTAGAAAAGTTGATGAGTGAACAGGTGAAAGCATTCAAGAAACCGTTTCAGGTGAAGGTTAATGGCCTCCCTGAGCTAAATTTTCCTGCAGGAAGTTACCAATGGGGGACACCCTCGGCAAATTGTCTCCGGCAGTTGGCTTGGTCGGAATCATTTCATGTTCCATTGACTGAGTTCTCAACAATAGGAGTATGTGCTGCCACTGACTCTAGGTAAAATTTACCAATTTATTTAGTTCAAAAAGTATTGATTTGTTTGCATGCTTCTAAAATTTTGAACTCTTATCATAACTCTTATAACATTTTTAGCAATTGTTCCTAAGGTCCCTTATATGTCCCCAAACCATAAAAGCATAATTGAAAAGTATTTGTTTCACATTCTCAACCAATTAAGACAATATACTTATCCTTTTTGCCATTTCCTTCTGAACACCCTCAAGATTCAAAAGTATATAACTTCTAAATATAAGTACATCATAGGAAATTTTTTATGACACTTACTTAAATCGAAATATGATAAATAATACTATAAGCATACCATTAACATTAGCAAAATTATAGCCTTCGTTCTTTTCTACTAAGCTTGAACCTCATGTTAGGAATGTTTTCATGAAGTGTCCCAAGGTGATTCACAATGAAAACATATATATCCAAAGTGACTAGTTTTGTGACTATTACAAGTAGTTACTTTGGATAAATGGGTGTTACACAGTCACAATGTGAATTTATATATCCAATTTTTACAAAAAAACGTGAATTAGTTAGTTGATCATTTAATGTGAATGATGAAGTCATTCTAATGTGAAAGACTAGAATACCAATCTTTACATATACTAGTTGGTTATTGAAGTATGAATGACCAATGTAGTAATTAATTGGTCTTTCCAATAAAATCACCAAGTAAGCTTAATATAAAATTTTGCATATATATAAAAAAATATTGATATTGATCTTTATCTATAGAAGATAACCAAATACATAAATTTAAAGAGCAAGCTTGTGTGTGTCAATATATATATATATATATATATATATATATATATATATATATATATATATATATATATATATATATATATATATATATATATATATATATAAAGGTTGAGTTATTGTAACAACTAAAAAAACATAAGAACTTGCAAACTAGACATCATAAGTTGAAAACTACGCGTCAGCGACTGCAGACGTATATGAATCAACAGTCATATGAACTACGGATGCATGCATCAGCAGTCATATGTAATGCAGACGTATATATGAATGCATGCATCAACAATCATATTGATTGTGGACACATATATACATTTATGCATCAGCAGTGCATATATATAAACATTTGAAAAAAGATCATTAAATCTTTTTTTTTTTTTTTTTAGCCTAGATATGGCTTAGACGCTGCATCTCGTTAATATTTGTGGTTTTGATTTTGAAATTTGATGTTTGGATCGGTAGTTCTAAAGTTCTAACATTTTTTTTGGTTCTCAAAAGAACTTGCATATATATATATATATATATATATATATATATATATATATATTATAATATATATATATATATATATATATATATATATATTAGTTTTACATGTTTCAGACTTTTTTTCTTTTTTTGCTTTGATCTAGCAAGATAGTGAAACAATGTGCAATGGTAATTTCCAAGCTAGCAAATGAACTAGCAGAGATTTTGGCCGAAATATTAGGCCAAAAGTCCGACTTCTTCAAAGAAAATTGCGTGCCTAGCATGTGTTATATTCGCATGAGCCGATATCCAGCGTGCCCTTTTTCTCCAGAAGTGTTTGGATTGATGCCTCACACAGATAGTGATTTCCTCACGATATTACACCAAGATCATATAGGAGGCTTACAAGTACTTAAAGATGGAAAATGGATTAGTGTGAATCCTAAACAAAAGACCCTAATCGTTATTGTTGGGGATCTTTTTCAGGTATGGAATAATATTATCATTTTACATCTTTTCTTATATCAATTAATTTTCAAATTCACTGCTAAGCTACTATGGTGGTGGTTATACTATATTAAAAATACTTCAGATCTCACATGTTTCAACATTGAGGTGATCAGCCGCTAATCAAAAATCAAATAAATAATCTTAGTTAGTTAGTTAGTAGCCTGCTAAAGCTATATATGTTCTTGGTTCTTCAAAAATGATCCTTTTATATTTGATATCATCGACATTTTTATGAAAAAACAAAGTATATGTTTGACGATTAAAATTTTGAAATACCTTACTTGAGTCCCACTATCACTTTAAGGGTATTTGTGCAGTGGATTATATATTGATCGAACATCCGGGTGGTGGATATTCATCATTCACATTTTTTTGCATCCCTTCGATCTTTGATGCCATGTCAATTTTTTTATTTCTTTCCATTACATCTCTCAAACCCCTAAACACTTCTTCTTCTACTACTATAATAAATAAATATAATTTTACAACATGTCAATCCTTAATAAGTTTTGATATTTATTATTTTGTGATGTTTTTTAAATAAATAATATCTACATATCAATTTATGTTTATTTTTTTCAAATTTTAAAATTAAAAAGCTACATAATCTTATACTTATATATGTAAAATATCAAATGTAAGAAATATTATAATAAATTAAAATTAATATGTTTTTCTATTTCTTATTTTAAAATTTTATTTTAAAAAATAATTATTATTTACATTTTAATATTTCATTTTTTTAATCAACCCGTATAATACACAGATTTTACGCCTAACAGAAATTATAAATTTTCTCATCCGTAAACCATTTTCAATAATATAATAAAAAAATCATAAACTATTATTAATTTAAAAATATTAAATAAAAAGTTAGGACTAACTAAAAACTAAGAAAAATACAATACCATTTAAAAAAAATATATAAAACTATTTCATTCCAACCATGTTTTCTTTGATATTTCATTCTTGCATGCTTGGACCGTAGTTAAAGTCTAAAGGAACAAATAATCATGTTGGCTTGGGTTTCATCGATATCTTCATCGGATTCTTGGGTTGGGGGTTGAGGGTAGTATATGTGAGGGTTGTGGGTTTGGAAGGGATTCAAGAATGTTTGATCTTGCTGGAGTGGAAAATTGTTGTATAAATGTTGTATTGGAAGTTGTGAAAATCATGAAAATTAGGTTTGATATTGCAGGAATTCGAGAATTAAGTTTCGGGAATTGAGTGATGAGAGTAGGTTACTCAAATGAACCTGTAGTGCCACTTTTATTTCATTCTTTATCCCCGGGCTTGAATTCTTTATGATTGTGAAAATTGATGTAATAAAATTAAAGTGAAAGGATATTATGATATTTATACAAGTTTTTTAAAACATTGTAAAAAAAGAAACTAGTCGCTGAGAGAGGGGTTCTAGCCATTTCATAACAATCAAAAGGAGGAGTGACGAAAATCATTGGCTCACTTGAGTATCGTGACACCCAATGTGGTGTTTCCAAGAGAATTTCTAGAGCCAAAAATTGTCGATATCATCCACCCTTATTAGATTTTTTTGGAAACGGAAAACATATTAAAGGAGGGAAAAACCTCAACTAGCAAGTAACTAGAAGAGGACCCAAAGCAGCGTACAAAAGAGTTAGACGATTACAAGCCAATAAAAGGGGACACTAACCAATCATCCCAATTACATATTACCTTTTTACCCCTATGTTTAAGCCAATAAAAAACCATTGTCTTAATACATTCAGTCCCTTGCATCAGTGAGATACCTTCCTTCTTAAATAATCGTTTGTTCCGGAACCGCCACAGATTCCATAAAATATGATAGCCAGTCGTTTCCTTCTCTTCGGGCAACATCCCCATGTTGATATAATGTGAAGAAGATCTCTTATGTTCCTTATTAAACTATGATCCAGCGTTACACCACAC